TCCCGTCCCAAATTAAACCCGTTACCGACCGCTCCCGCGATTTATTCGGAAATTCAGAATGCAGAACTCTACCACGGAGCTCCATAAACAAAGCAGCGCGCGTCGCGTTTTTAACGTGAATTTGCACGCGATAAGAGAATATAGCTAGTTAACCTGATACAGTACACTCGGTTACAATTAACAAATCACAACTAAATCCATTTGCAAGCTAGAGTCAACGAGGCAACAACTTTAACCGCACGTACTTACACTTGAGAAAGGTAGGAAGAAACCCATCCTGACGTCCATCAGTAAGTTACTCTTTACTGATCCTTCCTTTAACAAACTCAGATGAAGTATTCTTTGTAGCATGTAGCTTCCAGAAGTTTCCAGTAGTTTCCAACTGCTTGGTTATAATGCTGATGTTTCATCTTTTGGTAGAGACTCAATAATATCCATCTGCAGTGTGACTTCAATCGACCGGCATGTTTGTGTGCGTGTGTTTGTTTGTGTGTGTGTGTGTGTGTGTGTGTGTGTGTGTGTGTCTGGGTTTCTGCGTCAGAGGGCGGGGCCTCAGGTTTGAAATCTCTCGGGTTTGCGCTTGCACGTGAATAACTTGGTTTCGTTCGTACGTCATGGCGAAACACCTAATGACTCGGTATCAAGGCGACTCGTTTGAAGCACTATGAGTCGACTCTTTTATAGATGAATCAACCGTTTTAAACACTGTATTCTTACAGATTTAAGCCTTAGCTGGATACTTCACTTCACTTAGAGCTGTGTTACACACTACATGGAGGGGAATTTTCAAAAACCCATAATATGGGCTCTTGAATAAATTACCCTTCCACTGTAAAGCAGCTCTTAGTCTTAAAAATAAAGCTTCTATATTGGCATAGATGGTTCCATGAACAGCTTTACATATCCATTCCATAAAGGTTTCATTACAGTGAAAAAATACATTGATAATCTTAAATATCATTGAATATCTTGAATTCTCGCTGAGAAAAAAGCGTTATTTGAATTAAAAGGTTCTTTGGGGAACCAACAATGGTTACTTTTTAGTGCAAAACTTTTTCGAACCTTTATTTTGAATGTGTTGGATTGTATTGGCCTCAATAGACTTAGCAGAACAAATGCGCTGGAGAAGATTAACCTGTTAAAAAAGGCGAAGCTCTAAAGCCACACCTACGTAAAATGGGACCAGGCAATGACCGTTTAAAGGTGTTTACCAGCGGATGCAAACTTTTGCTCAAAATGACAACATCAATTTCTGTTGATGTATACTGGGGCCTTTAGGTTATATTGAAATATAGTAGAATTGTAGGATATAGTTACAAGACTTCATCTAAAGCAATGTTTGAAATCTTCTATTACTAACACTTGATGTTTTATTGGATAAAAAAGAGAAATAGCTTGATTTATTCATCATTTCCCATTCAGCTCTTTGCCATTACCTCATTTTATGTGCCAAATATATTCATTTTCATTCCAAAACATGTTTATTTGTAGTTCTACAATAGTAATGAAAAAGAATTATAATTTAACGGTTTAAAACATTTGAATGTTTATCGTGCTTTATTAGTTAGAATTTGCATAACTCAGCATTTTAGTTGCAAAAATGATGCAAAAAACCTTCTGATTAACCACTGAAATAAGCATTAGTTTTGTTAAATATAAAAATAATTATCATTAATTGATAACATTCTATTTTTGTTAATGCTAAAAAATAAAAAAAAAACTACAAGCAAATATAAATAAAATCATGTTTCATTTTCTTAATTCTGTAATAATACATTTGTGCTAATAGTTAAAACACTTTATTTTATTTTATTTTATTTTATTTTATTTTATTTTATTTTATTTTATTTTATTTTATTTTATTTTATTAGACAAAGCTCTTCCATGAAAAATTAAATGCCTAATTCATGCCAATTCATGTAAAGTCACTTTCTGAAAAATAAATCATTTTTACCTTCCTGCATACACTTCTGTCTGAACTGTTCTGCTCAGCTTTAAACTAAAAAGTGAACTGCTGTTGTTGTTGTTCTGATTAATTGCTCATATATAGATACATATCTCAAAATAAAAGAAAAATTCATCCAAAAATGTACTTGTATAGACTGCTCACTAGGGATGTAACGGTATCAGAATTTCACGGTTCGGTAATACCTCGGTATGAATGTCACGGTACGGTATTTATTGAATCATTTACAGGAAAAAAAAACTTTTGAAAATACTCCAAAAAAGTGCCAAAAGTGTCAATGACATACAAATTAGTCATCTATCTGTAAGCTTTGAAACAGGAACTTCAATTTTAATAACAAAAAATTATTAAACCATGTAAAAAAATAAAGTTTCAATTTAGTATTGTTGAAAACTCATCACATTCAACATTTAATCACTCACTCACTTAGATAGAGATGGGTTTAAAGGAAAATTATCATATAAATATAATCTGGTAAAAGCTGGTATCTCTGGGTATATACAATGTCCCCTGCAACAGAAAAAACCCTCCCATTTGGGACTGAGGTTTCTGGGACAAGAGAGATATGACTTGGCCCATGTTGACAGCCGTGGGTAACGTTGTGCATTGTCTTTCCACCACTTGAGAAGACAAACCATGAGTGAGATAGAGATCTCTTTGCGGTACAAGTCAATGTCTGCATCAATCTGAACAGTGTGCTGTGTTTCTGCAGTCCCCATGACTGTTATTAGTCGTATTCCCCAACTTGCAGGCACGTGCACACATAGGGCTCAACCTGTGCAGTGCACATGCCCTTTTTAGTCTTGGATAGAAAATGCCCTTCCAAAACGATCAAAAGTGCCCCCGCGACGCGACACAACCTCCGTCCAATCCAGCCCTTCAGTAGGCGCGCGACAACAGCTCTCTTGAATATGCGCGCTCAACCCCCCCTCGGCGCTTTACAATACGCGCGCCACAACACAGCTGATCAGAACGCGCACCACAACACAGCTGATCAGAACGCGCGCGACAGCACCGCTATTCAGCACGCGCGCGGCGACAACACCCGCTTTAGGTTCGATCATTTCCATCTTTTTTTCATCTCCGCTACTAGCAGCACACTCCATTTCCGCATTACTGGATCTGTAGCGACAACAGACCGCAAAGGATTATGGCCACGCCGGGGCTGATGGGAAATGCAGTTTAAGCTACGTCCCGTTCGCTTCATTCGCCTGAGCAAATTTTCTCAGAAGACCTATAGTTTTACCGAGTCATGCGACTTCGGTAATATCGAAAAAAATTAATATTGCGGTATGACGGTATTTACAATACCGTTACATCCCTACTGCTCACTGTAATGTTGTGCAAGGAGTTGTGGTCACTTTGAAAAACAAATACCTCACTAAACATAAAGAAAGTCAGCAAATCAATTTGGCATTTTCATTTTTGGGTGAACTACTGCTTTTAATTGAGGTAAACATAGTGTAGTGTCATGTATGTAGACTTGGCTGTGAAGATCTCAATAGCTTACAATGATACCGCTAACCTTTTGTAGCCCTGGCCCAATGCTTCGTATCATTCTTCACTGACCTTTCACCTTCCCTACTCGTGTAAATGTGTGGACAGTAAGTACCGTGCACTGCATCTCTTTTCTGCTCATCTTCAACATGTTTGGCTGCTTGTTCTCTTCTCTGTTTGCATCTGAATCCTCAGTACTAAAAAACACTCCACTAACAATGCAGGCTCACTCTTTTAATTCCATAATATTGCCATCTAATCCTATCTAAGCTGTGAATATTTTATTTTATTTTATACTATTTTCAACCCAGTAAACGGGTTACTCATAGTGGTCTTGATGTCTAAAATTTAACTTAAACTCTGTATGTATCTTTCAGTGTTCAAGAAAACACAAAAAATCTCTATATATTTTTAAAGGCTGAAAAAGTGATAACATTACCAATCTTTTTTTATTTTGTGGCCAAAAAAAGAAAAATGTATCTTTTGTGTTTTTTCCCCAAGTTTTTTTTTTCATGACATCTCTGCCATGGTCATTTTTGTGACATTTTAATTGAAATCTTTGTAAATAAAGAGCAGTGGGTGTCTCCATCACATCATGTAGAACTTAAAAAAAATAAACAGCTGTTTTCCAAAAATGAAATGTTCCAATAATGAAAAAGCAATAATATCATCATGAGGGCTTCTCTAGCAAATATCTACTGGTATAAAATCAAATAAAAAAGAAAGTTATCTGTAAATAAAGGATAGCATTTGTCCTCATCACGTATCTTGTGTAAGTGTAGTTTTAAATATACAGTGCTCAATATATATACATGAGTACACCCCTCACAAATCTCTCATTTAAATTAATATTTTCTATAGGATGCTTTCCAATATTATACTTGTGCATATACATTAGTTTAGTCAGTACTGAAGCCAAATCTGGAGCTTATCTGTGTACTCATTTATGCTGAGCACTATATATCACTATATGCTGAGCACTATATATATATATTTACCAGTGTACTTTTAAACTAAACTTTATAACCTTTATTTTAGACTTTGTCATTGGCATTTATATATGAGGCCAAAAGACTCCTCTTTGTTGCAGATTGCTTGAAATGGGCCTGAAGGACTGGGGTTGGGCTCTTGAGGTTGAATTGGATGATGACGATGTTTTAGACTTCTGAAGACTTGAGTTTTTTGAGGGGTGACCAGCGTGTGGCTTGAGGATGCATTTACATGTGTGTGTGTGTTAAGCTGTGGCTTAAAGCCGGTTTTGCTTTTTTTTAAATGATATTAAAATTTCACACTGTGAGGGACTATACAACACGTTTTGAATTTGCCAGCAGGTTTGATGCACTTACAGTATACGAGTGGGCATGTTTGTATGTGTGTATAAAAGGCAGAATGGTTTGGTTTAGCTGGTTTGGCTGTATAGAGAATGGGATTTGACATGTCTGCCAGCATTTTATTTATGTAATTTTTTATGGTACTGAATGACCTCCATCTCCTCTCTCTTAATTTCAGCTAACCTTGGTGAAGGCCGGATAGGTGATCATGCATCTGGGGTCTATGAAAGCGGAAAATGTCATAGTGTTCATTTGGGCTAATGGCAGGACTTCCAAGTGCCAAACACCACAATATAAATGACTGGGGAAGGGGACGGTATATGATATTTAAATACAGCACAAGCCATAAATCACCTAAAGTATCTAGTTTCAATTTTAAGTCATTTTAAGGGTAGAGTGTTTGTGTCTTCCTATACTATACAGTTTGTCAAAAAGTGTCTTCTAAGCTTTTAAAAATGTCAGAGGTTATTTTCGGACTCCTTATAGGGTTGTTAGTAAGTGTGACTGGATGTTTAAGTGTGTTTCCAAGAGCAAATGAATGATAATTACGTGATCATCAGGATTTATATACTCAAGTATTATATCTATTT